ATGACTACCAGGAACAAATACTTACTTAGAATAACTTATCAGAAAGGTAAAATGTCAAACAATTTCATTTTTAGCAACAGGATAACACTTTTTCCCTTTAAAATAAATAAATGAGGACTTAAAGTTGTCTGGGAGAAAAACACTTGTGAATTTGTCAAGTATTTTTTCCCAGATAATGACACTGAAGCAAGCAAGATAATGCAAGGGAAATTCTCATGAGGAAGATTTCAGAACTGTAGAGCATGCTAGGAACTGGTTTGTTTCTGGCTGCGGTCCCCTTAACATGAGTTCTGTCTGGTGATTAGCATCACCTTGGATTAAACTAATTGGCTGTGCTCAATCCCCGGGCAGACACACTGAGAATAAATCCAAAGACTAGGTTCTTTGCACAAAGTGAGGTTGCATATCCAGTGACATTTATTTGAACTATTCAAACAACTTAAACATCTTTTCTTTATAAGGGAAGTTTCAAGTTTTGGTAAGTACAGAGCTTTTTGAAATCTTTCTTTTGAAAATAATCTGTTTCACTAATTGTATTTTGTTGTCCATTTTATGTCTAGGTCATGCATCTGTGTTCTATCTTTAACTATTAGAAAAAGAATAAATGTTGCTAATAATTATTGTCTTTTACCCAAATATGCTAGCAACTTTTACAATATGCTGATATTGAAGCAAGAAGGAACTTCAGTATCAGGAAATCAAACAATTCCAGTTTATTCAAATGATTAAAGTTTATTTTGTTTCTGATTATAAAAGCACTATATACTTATTATACATACTTACATATACTTATTATAGAAATCTGTGCGATACCTCAAAGAAGGAAGCTGCTTATAATTCAACAACGCTGTTACTGTTGCACAGTGTGCAATCACTGTTACACAGTGATTAATTGGTGTCTTTCCTTTCTGAATCCCCTTCCCCCAATTCTACCCCATAGAGTTATAGAAATCTGAAATGAACTAATTCTTGTAACATTGAGTCTTTGAATTGCCATAAGAATGAACATTCTATATTTATCAATTGTCTATTTGTTCTATTTCATTATTTATGAATTGCCTTAAATTTTACTATGTGGTAGAAAATTAAATTTAAAATATAATTAGTGAAATGACATATGTATCTTATAAATCTGTCATGTTTTGTCAAGTAAGTGGGGGAGTGAAAGCACAATCTTCTTGGCAGAGGCAACTATTTAGCTGTAAGCAGCACGTCCTTAAATGTACTGTTGATTGAGTTGGGTGATGGCACAGACGAGCCTAACTGTGGTTGAGCCTAAGGGTGTTAAAAAAATCTGCTTAATCTTAAAAAGCAATGAAAGTATTTATGACAGCTCCATAGTCTAACTTTAGGGAATGAAGAGGCTCTGCTAAGAAGAAGGGAAGATATTGGTGGTAAGCCATTATCATGCTGGTAAGTCATTACCAGCATATTTTAATGTAAGTTGGGCTGAGGCAAAGCCATTTTGTAAGCCAGTTTCCTTGCTACCTCTAGGGAAGTCAGCGGTGAGGAAAGTGGAAGACCTTAAGATTCTACAGTTTCCACTGGTTACCTCTGTACACCCACCTCCACTTCTCCTTCAGCCTAAACTTCTAGGAGAAGAATTAAACCATTTTAGGCTGCTTAGTTTGGTTGTTCTCTAGGTAGCCCCTAAGTATATTATTGCCTTATTCCAACTTTAGAGGGCACAGAATAAACCTTATTGTTAAAAATGTATGTGAAAAAAACACTGTAATTTCCATCCATATCCTAATTAGTTTTTAAAAGTGATTAAGAAAGGGGCACAATTAATACAGGATAACTTAAAGTTATGGAGGGCTGTTAGCTCTGTTTCACAAACGAGGACACTATACTGTCAAGACTTAATGATCACGTTGCTAGTCTTGCTGTGCACGGGCTAGATGCACGCCACCTCTGCTTTCTTCCTGGAGGGCATCTCCACTGCTCTTTGCTTCTGGCATCTTAGCTATACAAGCTTTCCTCTGAAATTGCTGTCTATTCCGATCCTCACCTCCAATCCTTCAGGCTGCATTAGCCATCTGTCCTTGATATTATCTTGTTACTCTACTCTTCTTCAATTGTTATTGAATTATTCTCTGAATTTTTCATGGACTCAGTGGGAAATGCACATGATTAGGGCAGGGCAAAGGCTGATCCACTTTCTTCAGAAAGAATCTGGTTTATTTCCTCTTCCCTAATGATGACACTGTGCATTGAATGAACATGAATCATCATCATATTCTGTGTTTTAAACACAAAGCCCACTTTACCATGGGCTCTTAAGCCTCACCCCACAGAATCTCAACACTTTCCCTGAAACTTCCCCCAGTGATTTCTAGGAGTTCCCAGAGATTCTCTTATATGCAATAAGAATTACGTGAACTCATATTTTTGTTTTGTCTTTGCTACAACTTCCCCATCAACAGGTTGCTGCCTGGCAACCACCTGTTGTAGGTACCTGCTCTGAAAATGTTTTACCACTGTTGGGCATTTGGTGTCTTCCCCAGACATGGTACCTTCAGCTTCTGCCCTTCATGCATCAGGCTCAAAACCAGTGCTCAGGGCTGGGCAGCAGTGGGTTAGGAAAATAAGGGCTGCTTCTTTCCTCCTATTGTCTTTACCTTCCATGTTCTCGCTCCTGGTCCCTGGATAAAATCTGTTTTATTATAGCTAGAAATGAACAAACAAGACCATCCACAAACATCGTAGCATATCAGCTCTTACAAATGTGTTCCCAAAGTGGTTACCAGGTTAACAGTTCTCTAAGTAGTGAGATCCAAGCAGAAAACTACTGACTTTGAAAGCCTCATGATATAATTACACATAGATAAATATCATTTTCTAAAATTGGGTGAAAAATGTGTCTCAAATATTATTCATGTAAAATAATTTCAAAAAACATGTAAGTAAATCAACCTAAAAATTAACTGGAGGCAAAGAGTTCTGAAATCTTATTCAAATACTGAAGGAACTCATCCTTCTTAATGTTAATGAGGGCATGGAGATTAAGCAGCCTACCCAAGGTCAGACCACAGTTTATCAGACAAGGACGAGAAGAGGTTGCAGTTTTGCTGACTCCATTGCAAAGCCGGATTCCCCAGCTCCTGATGCACATGCTTGCTACAGCCCCCTTTTAGTCGTAAGCACTATAATTACTTTAAACCTTTGTGGAAGAGAGAAGGGGAGACATCTAATTTCTAGGCTGATCTTCAAATGCTTTTTTCCTAAGTTACATATAAAGAAGACTTGCAAATCAGATTGGAGATATATGAAGATACTTAGAAAACAGCTTGCAAACATTTATGTAGGTGATTTGGACTAGATTTAGAGCTGATTTATAAACAAGTGTTTTTCCATCTCTATAATACCAATTACATCTATTTTGTTTGTTTCATTTGTCTTCAAGGCTGGAGGGCTTTCTTACTCTGTCAAAAGACATTAATAAATTGATTTAAAATAACAGAGAATAGCCACAAATCCCACAATTGAAAAACAAGACCAGAACCAGATAAACTCTTCCACAAGCTGCTCATTTATCAGTCAGAGTCCGGTTTCACTGAGAAATGGAAAAGGGAAACCTCAGTGGTTTGCTGAAAATGGCTCTTCTTGAATTCCCTCCAAAGTTTTTATTTTAGAACTACTAGTGGAAGCAATAACCAGATTGCACCATTGTTAGCAGCCCATAGCAGTGCTATCTTGCATTCAAAGAACATTTGTTTAGTGAAGTGTTTCCCAAAGTAGGATAAGTGATGTGTCAGATGATTTGCCTGCATTTTCTCCAATCTGCAGTGGAAACATCTGATGCTTTCTTAATATGGCCCTTATTTAAGTATCTATGTAATACATTTCTTCTAGAACTTAATGCCAGGTACATTTTCCTCCAGATGAACTCATTTGGTTCCATCCAACAGACAATTTGAACTTTAAAAACTTTTCCTATTTCCCCTCTTTTCCTTTACTGCCAGGACCTGAAGGACTAAATTGATGAACAGCAAAACCCTCTTACTTTTCTCATTGGATGGTTTCTGATTTGTGTCTTTTTGTTATTTTTTAAATTGTGCAATAAAATTTGTTAATTTTAAAGATTCACAACGTTTAACAATGTATTAAAAACACAAATATTATCTATAGCTTTGCCATCCAGAGCTGTAGCTATAGCTATAACCACCATCAACGCCAGGCTGTTTATATTTCTGGACTTTTCCCCATCCCCATGATATAGTCATGTGCCACATAGTGACGTTTTGGTCAACAACATAATACATATATGATGGTCATCCCAGAAGATTATAATACTGTATTTTTACTGTACCGTTTCTATGTTTAGATATGTTTAGACACATAAATACTTACCATAGTGTTATAATTGCCTATGGTACTCAGTAGAGGAATATGCTGTACAGGAATAAGCTATAGTCTAGGACCAACAGGCTACATCATATGGCTTAGGTATGGAGTAGACTATACCATCTAAGTTTGTGTAGGTTCAAACCGAGATGTGTGATGTTCACACAAGGATGAAATCTAATGGCACATTTCTCAGAATGTATCCCCATCATTAAGCCATACATGACTATATCCATATAAAGCAATGGCATGGCATATGTTTTACAAGCTGCTTTTTCACTTAGCAGTATGTCATAATCATATTTCTATGCCAAAAATACAGGTTTATAAAACTGTGTTTAATGGTTGCATAGTTTTCCATTGCATGGGTGTATATGTCATAATTTATCTACCTATGTCTCATAACATGTGTAGGTTGTTTTTAATTTTTAAATTATAAATATCCTTAATTATTTCATTTACGTATCTTTATTGTAAATCCCTTAAAATTATCTTTCAAAATCGACAGGTATAATGAATGAATACATGAATGAAAGAATAAACTTCCAGGAATATCCTCAATGTCTACAACTATATTTAGCATGCTCTTGCATTACCATGTACCCTCCATGGTGCTGTTATTCAGGAGATGCACATTTTTCTTTCCTCTCTAGGTCACAGCCAAAATGAGTGAAACCCCTTCTACTAGTTTTTCTACAATTCATCCTACTTCTTCTGAAAGTCAAGTTCCCGCCTCTCGCCATTTGAGCGTAACTCGTCCTGTTGTGGCCAAACGGATCAGCTTCTACAAGAGCGGAGACCCCCAGTTCGGCGGGGTTAGGGTGGTGGTCAACCCTCGTTCCTTTAAGACCTTTGATGCTTTGCTGGATAACCTGTCCAGAAAGGTACCCCTGCCTTTCGGAGTGAGGAACATCAGCACCCCTCGGGGAAGGCACTGCATCACCCGCCTGGAGGACCTGGAGGACGGCGAGTCTTACCTGTGCTCCCACGGCAGGAAGGTGCAGCCTGTCGACCTGGATAAGGCCCGTCAGCGCCCGCGGCCCTGGCTCAGCAGCCGGGCCGTCAGCGCGCATGCGCCCCGCCGCCCCGCCGCCGCAGCTCCCGGCATGCCCCGCGGCCCGCGGAGGATCCTGGTCTTCAGGAACGGAGACCCGAAGACGAGGCGCGCGGTTCTTCTGAGAAAGAGGGTCACCCAGAGCTTCGAGGCCTTTCTGCAGCACCTGACGGTGGTCATGCAGTGCCGGGTGGTCAAGCTGTACACCACAGACGGAAGGAGGGTGAGTGGTCCTGGGGCTCCTCACGCCCGAGCTCGCTTTAGGCACCGCGTGGGTTCGTGCCCGATGTGAATGGTGGTCCCGGGAGGTCCGTGTTCCTGTGTGCGTGTGCAGGTTCTGTATGCCCGCGAACGGTATCTGTTTCCTGGTCAGAACCGGACAGGGGTCTCTTCTTTCTCCCACACTCCCTCCCCCATTCTGTTTCCTGAGCATCGAGTATATAAGGTTTTGACACCGAATCAATATCAAGAATATTTTTTGAAAAGGATTGACCAGGAGTAGTATTTTTCTAGATAGAGAAAGCATTTTTCTGTGATCTCTGCTAGAGAAGTATGTAGCTGACATCCCCCTCACCACCGCACATTTGGTATTCCCACTTACTTTGTATGCATCATTGGTGCCTAAGGAAATGCTTGGTGATTATTTCTTGAAAGCCTGGGAGGTGGTGGAATTGATTCAAAGTTATAAAATTATCCTATGGAAGAAACAAAACTTGCCCAAGTAAGGATGTGACTCTTTGGTTTCTTTTAGGTTTCCAGTCTCCAGGCGGTAATCCTGAGCTCTGGAGCTGTGGTAGCAGCAGGAAGGGAGCCATTTAAACCGGGAAATTATGACATCCAAAAGTACTTGCTTCCTGCTAGATTACCAGGGATTTCTCATCGTGTGCACCGCAAGGGAAATGCGAGGTCAGAAAGCAGAAAGAGTAAGTCACTTATAAATATATAGCCCATATTTTTAGCTTTGAGATTTTTTTTTTGCCTCAACAACAAAGAACAATTTCCTTCATCACAGAAGAGAAAATACGAGAGGATTAAAAACATTCTCAACTGATATTGGTTATATTTATAGTTGAAAGAAATCATAGAGATTACCTGATAATTTTTTAAGTCTTTTCCAGATCAATCAATGATATATCTGTTTAAATTGATGAGGCATGCTTTTTTGGGATAAAATACATAGTTAAATAAAAATCCCAGCATTTTTTGCTTTGTAGACAAATTCTGTGGAATCTATGTAAGTGACACCCGTGGTAGTTACAGAGTTTTCTCTAAATAATACCACTCATGATTCATAGCTGAGCTCAACATGTTAGCAGAGTGACTGTGTTTTTTCAGATTTATGCTATACACTCTACCTTCTGAAGTTATTCCTATAAAAATCACAGGTCCTTAGATCCACTTTTTATTTATTTTTAAAAAGTTTTATGCAGCCAATTCATGCTGCTTAACAATAATTTAGGTAATTTAGATAATTGCTTAGGTTCTGCTGCATTCAGGTGGCATTATCCTTTGGATAAGGGAAGGAAGAGGGCCTCTTGAGGCCCAAGGCTGTAAATTCTCTATGCAGGCATGGCTAATCTCATTATTCATTGTGCACAGTATTTCCAGGGAAACTTTAGCTCTTTGCTAAAGTACTGATTGCTGTTTATACTTAAGTTTTTTTGAAATAGAATCTCTCACTCTGTCACCTGGGCTAGAGTGCAGTGGCATCATCATAGCTCACTGTGACCTCAAACTCCTGGATTCAAGCAATTCTCCTCCCTCAGCCTCCTGAGTAGCTGGGACTACAGGTACATGCATACCACCACGCCTGGCTAATTTTTTCTTTTTTTGGTAGAGATGGGTCTTGCTCTTGCTCAGGCTGGTATCGAATTCCTGATCTCAAGGGGTCCTCTTGCCTCAGTTTCTCAAACTGCTAGGATTACAGGCATGAGCCACTGTGCCAGGCATATACTTAAGTTTTAACTTTTTTTCTCTTTAGACATGGGATAATTGTATTTTCAGTAGTATTAGTCCCTTAATGCTAATGTGAACTCATCTATTATTTATTGTTATCATTTACTTCATGGATATAAGCAATAGATAATTATTAATGCTCCTGTTTTGTAGGCATTAGGCTGCCAAATATATGTTGTGCATGTGGTAGTACTATTTCACCTCGGTCATTTTACTAAAATGATTTTTTTATTTTATGTCTGCTACAGGTTGTTAAGAATGATTTTTGATAACTTCAGGGAATCTGAGGGCTTTGTTACATTTTACTTCAAAAAATTAGGAACGAGACATTTTTATTTACAATTTCATTGAAAGTATAATGAAATAAGAAATATTTCTATGTTTTTACTCTGAAATGTTAAAGGTATTTACCTGATGGCGAGTGTGTACAAATCTGTACAGACTGGTAATAGGAATTTTAAGAAGCAAGAGTGCCACGGTTAATGCTAAAGATTCACATTAAAAAGATAACTAATATCTGGACTTATGTTTAACTCTGTTCTCTTTTGTGCCCTATAATAAATCAGCTGAACTGATTAAACAAAGTGAATTATTAAATTAATAGTTATTCCTTTATTAACCCAGTCTTAAATAAATTCTAAAAATGTTTCTGATTTCATAAAACTCTCTAGGATATGGGGAGATAGGAAAATAAATACCACCATAAATTGTTACTTGCCTTGTTTGAATAGGTAAGCAGTACCTGGTTAGACTCCAGTTTCAGTATCAATAAACAAAATGACAAAACAAAAACCTATAAAAAACTTTATTTTTGATAGAATCCTTAGGAATTTTTACTTTATTTTTTTTAATTAAAATTACCTTATTAAACTTGTTGAAATGAAAATTCTGTGAATCTCCTCATTGAAGTAGAATTATAGGTCTTAGGAGTGGTTTGAAGAAATGTACTGGTATTACAGTAAGTTTTCTCAAATAACCATTAAATATGTAGAGCTCAGAAACATATTGATATTTTACCATGAAGTACAGAAAATATGTTTCATACTAATTATTTCCTTTTTTTTCTTTTTTCTTTGCTGCCTTTTCTATTGGATGTTTACAACTTCTCTGCCTTCCATATTATATTTTGATGTGGCTATCTTTTACTCTTAAAATCTTGTAAGTGAGCATACATATGCCTTCAAGCCCAAAGTCCCAGATTTATTCTGTTTCTTCTGACAAAACTCATAATAATGATTGCTGCTCAGACTGTTCTTTTGCTCCTGAACATTACTTGACCTTAGAAAAAAATGATTCTCAGAATTTATCAATATATCCTTCCGAAGATGATATTGAGAAATCAATTATTTTCAATCAGGATGGCACTATGACAGTTGAAATGAAAGTTCGATTCAAGATAAAAGAGGAGGAAACCATAAAATGGACAACCACCCTCAGTAAAGCTGATCTTTGTAATAATGATGAAAAGAGTGAGATAAGGAGTTTTCCCAGAAGAATAGACAGTCGATCATCTGGTTTAAAGTTTACAGCATGTTCATTATCTGCAGATGTCTCACCTCTGGAGAAAGGCTATAATCAAGAGGGCAGTTTGGCAGAAGAGTTAAAGACTCAAATGACAGATCAAGAGGCTGAAACTTGCAGTTCTACTAGTTGGGAAAATGGTGCTGTGGACCCAGATATCATCCGTGGAAGTCAGGATCAAGTGAAGCATCATTTTTATAGGCCCCCTACACCTGGACCAAGGAGAGTGAGACAAAAGAAATCTGTGGTAGGGAGTATGACCTTAGTATCTGAAACTGAGGTTCAAGAGAAAATGATTGGACAATTTTCTTATAGCAAAGAAAGGGAAGGTGGGGAAAACAAATCTGAGTATCACATGTTCACACATTCTTGCAGTAAAATGTCATCAGTATCTAACAAACCAGTACTTGTTCAGATCAGTGACAATGAGCAGATGGAGTCATCTTTAGAAAGAAAAAAGGAAAGCAAACTGCTCAAGTCAAGTGCAATAAGTGCTGGTGTTATAGAAATTACAAGTCAGAAGGTGTTAGAAATGTCCCATAATAATGACTTGTCATCAGCTATATCAGAGAATTCAATTGTGGAGGAAGGTGTAGTTGATAGTGTAATATTAGACAACAAAGCTGGTATTAAGAACTTCAGAACTTGTGATAACAGCAGTGATAGGTTCAGTCCTATTTCAGCAGATGCAACTCATTCTTCAAGTAACAACTCTGGAAGTGGCAAAAGTATTTCTGAGGCTCCAGCATCAGCAGCATCTTCTGCTGTCACCACAGGAATTGACAGACTAATTAATGAATTTTCTCAGTGTGGTTTAACAAAATTTCCAAAAAATGAAAAGAAGGTTTTATCTTCTGTTTCCAGCAAAAAGAAAAAGAAGTCTCCACAGCAAGTAATAAGCTCCAGGTATCAGGAAGAACAGGTTAAAACCAAAGGAATCCCCAAGAAGAAAGAGAAAATAAACACAGGATGTAGAATTGCACAAGAAACCATATTGCAAGATTCACACAGTCTCCTTAAAGAAGGGATACTTTGTGAAGAAGACATCCAGGCAAATGATACAGTCATTGAATTAAATCGTCTTTATTCCAAAAGTAATCTCAATACCATGATTTCCAAGAATTTCCATAGAAATAAATTAAATACTACTCAAAATCCTAAGGTTCAAGGACTTCCAGCCAAAAGAAAATCCAGACCACGAAAGAAAGTAAGCTTAGGAGGACCTAAAAAAAGAGAAATTGGTCAAGGAGATAAAGCGTTTCCCCACAATGAATCTAAATATTGTAAAAGTACTTTTGAAAATCAGAATTTATTTCATGTGTTTAACTTCCTTGAGCAAAAACCTAAAGCATCTAAAGCAGAAATGACATCTGGGTATTTGAGAGGAATGACAGCGCAGAGTTTAACTTCCAAAGTTAATGATTCACATATAACTTTAAAAGGCCAGAAAAAACAAAAAGGGGATAAATTAAAATCAGGTGCTATTGTCAGTAAACAACATGCTACAACCAGGGAAAATTCTTTAGCTTGTTTGAAAAAAGCTGATTTTCCTGAGGATATTGCCCATCATTCAATTCAAAAGTATATACAGAGTTGGTTGCAGAACATAAATCCATATCCAACTTTAAAACCTAGAAAATCATCTCAAGTATGCAAAAATGAAAGAAGTGTGGTAAGTTCTAACAATAATGATTTTCCAGGGAATAATCCCCTTACAAGTTCTGGAAAAAAAAGTAATTTTTGTATAGAAAGTAATAAGTACGTAACCAAAAATGCCAGTTTGGTGGGAGATAATCTATGTAGAGAGGGAAGTAAATCTCTTATTGCCAAAGATAATGGCGAAGAGCTTACCAGTAATCTCTGTGAGAGCCAGGTTGGATCTCTGAATGATGCTTACTTGATTTCCCTGCATGAATGTCATACTTTGTCACAGTCAGCTATTAAGGATCATAATACTAAAAGTCACATATCTGCTGAAAAATCAGGACCAGAGATAAACCTTGTTTACCAAGAAACAAACCTAGCTAGAAAGGGGCAAAATGTAGAGGCTGCCATTCAAGTAGATCCTGTAGAAGAGGGCACTCCAAAAGATATCTTATCAGTCCTGTTGCTTCGCCAACTGCAAGCTTCAGTTTCTGGTATTCACAAGACTCAGAATGGACTTGTTCAAATGCCATGTTCTCTTGCAGATGTTACCTTTCCTTCTGCAATATGTAATCCGTCCACTAATCTCCTTCTAGCTTGGCTCCTGGTGCTAAATCTAAAGGGAAGTATGAATAGTTTCTGTCAAGGTGATGCTCACAAGACTACCAACAGATCCTCAGAAATACTTGCATTGTTGGAGCTTCTGAAGCACACTGCCATCACAGAGGAAGCTGATGACTTGAAGGCTGCTGTTGCCAGTTTAGTCGAGTCAACCACAGATCATTTTGGACTAAGTGAGAAAGAACAAGATATGGTTCCAGTAGGTTCTGCAAATTATTCCGCAGCCAGCATTCAGAGAATTCCTAAATGCAATGAAAGCAAAGTACAGAAAATCTCCTCTTTGGATGGAGGCAACTCTGCCAGTGAGGGCTGTGCCCCTGAAGTCTGTGTTTTGGAGATGACTTGTTCTCCATGTGGGATGCGCTCTGTAAATAAGACTTATCCCCCAAAAGAGACTTGTAACCTCAGTGACGTTTTTTTCCCTAGTGATGGTTCTGCCATGGATCAGACCTCCATGAATAAGATTTGTTTCCTAGGAGAGGTCTCTTCACTTACTGATACAGTATCTTCCCATAAGGGTTGTGCTCAAAAGGAGAACCATATCTATGAGGCATCTTGCCCAATTGAAGAAAAATACATTCCCGTCAAAGTCTGCAATACCACTGACTTTTTAAATTCTGAAGAAAACACATGTACTGATAACTTGGAATTAACTGAAGGGTTAGAAAGAGGTGACAAAGTTCAGAAAGACCTAAATATTTTGTCAGATCCTGAGTATAAAAATGGCTTTAATACATTGGTATCACATCAAAATGTCATTAATTTAAGCCCCTTTGGCGTTTTGCTAAATGAAACTGAACCAGAATTTGATAAGAAATACAGTTTTCTAGGTGAATTTAAAAATTGTTCACTAAAGAAATTTCAGGATAAAAATGCATGTACATCCTTTGATAAGGAAGAATCAAGGACTTCTGAAGAACCAGGCTCAATAACTAACAGCATGACTTCAAGCGAAAGAAACATTTCAGAATTGGAATCTTTTGAAGAATTAGAAAACCAGGACACTGGTATCTTTAACACAGAGGTAAATGTAGGAGAGCAAGCTGCTGCAGAATTAATCCAAAAGGAATTAGAGGCTAGTAAAAATATGGAACAGATAAACATCTCTAGTCAGAACATTATAAAAGAAGAAAGAAAGAATGGTGTAATTTGTGAGACAATCAATGAGAGAATGGCAACACCACCATCTTTAGTTTTTTGCTATGATTCTAAACTAAATAGTGAAAAGGAGACTAATGAAGGAGATACTAAGATGAGGGTAAAAATGGTGGTAAAAAGCATGGAAACTGGAAGTTATTCAGAGTCCTCTCTTGATTTTAAAAGATGCTTCAAAACTCCAGTGACTTCTGATTTGTCAGACTATAGGCCGGACAGTGACAGTGAGCAGCCATATAAAATATCCAGTGATGACCTCAGTGACAGTGGTGAGCTTGCCCAAGAGAAGGAAAACAATATAGGATTTGTTAAAAGGGCAATAGAAAAACTTTATGGTAAAGCAGAGATTATTAAACCATCTTTTTTCCCTGGTTCTACACACAAATCTCAGGTTTACCCTTATAATTCTGTGGAATTTCAGAGTGTCAGGAAAGCAGGTCTTTATGATTCTGAAGGTCATTCATTTGGCTCTTCTGAACAGGTATCTAATAGTTCACATATGTTGCCGGAATTCCAGGAGGAAAGACAGGGTAAACATAGTATTAATGATGTGAGGAATAATTTTTATAGGGGTGACGTTGTAGCATCTGGTGCAAAACAAAATGATCATAACAGAATCCTTAGAGACATAGAGGAAGGAGTACTGATTGACAAAGGCAAATGGCTCTTAAAAGAAAATCATTTGCTAAGGGTGTCATCTGAAAATCCTGGCATATGTGGCAATGGAGACACCACATCAATTGATACCCTACTTGATAATAACAGCAATGAGGTACCATATTCACATTTTGGAAATTTGGCCCCAGGCCCAACCATGGCTGAACTATCCTCTTCAGAACTGGAGGAGCTGACTCAACCCCTTGAACTAAAATGCAATTACTTTAACATGCCTCATGCTAGTGACTCTGAGCCTTTTCATGAGGATTCAATAGATGTTCACAACAGAACCTGTGCCAAGGAAAGAGTACCAAATCACCATATAGAGGAGAAGGGTAATCATCAGTCAGAAAAAGTATGTACATCTGTCACTCATGCCTTTATACCTACTGATAACAAAGTACACCCTGTCTCTGATGATGCTATTAAAAAACAGCCATTGCCTGGCAATAATGCAATTCATGGTGCACTGCAAGAAGGTGACTCTTTGGATAAACTCTATGCTCTTTGTGGTCAACATTGCCCAATATTAACTGTTACTATCCAACCTGTAAATGAGGAAGACCGAGGATTTGCATATCGCAAAGAATCTGATATTGAAAATTCCTTGGGTTTTCATTTGTGGATGAAAACACATCCATATTTACTGCAGTCAAACAAAAACATGTTCAGGAATAAGAACAATGGAGGAGATATGAGAAAAGAATTTATTGATAATGACATTGGGGATATATTTGACAGACTTTATTTCAATTACATGTTTGACTTTATGGATAAAAGAAGAAAACGAAAAAGAATTAATTTCTTAGAGTTAATACAAGAAGGTGATTTAAAGAAATTTCAATCTTTTTTAACGAATTTCTTGCACACATCATTGTTAGTTGTGGGTGATGTAAATTCAAATATACAAGACCCCAACAGATGGACAAATGGAATCTTTAAAGCAGTTGATGAGAATAACAATTTATTAGATAATAGATTTCAGAGCTCAAGAACAAATCTCAACCAAGTAGTAAGAGAAAATATCAACAATTGTTTCTCTTTTGAAATGCTTGGTCAAGCCTGCCTGTTAGATATTTGCCAAGTTGAGGTATCTTTAAATATTAGCAATAGAACTATATTAGAAATACTTTCTGTTTTTCAGGGTGAAAGTATTTGCATTTGGGAAGAGGAAAACCAGTTAAGTTTAACTGATCTTGAAAGCAGTAATGAACAGGAAAATTTATAATTTCAATATCAGCATAGCCTTTCTCTGTCAGTACAGTTTTCCCCCATAATAAGATGAAGCACATGGAATGGATATGGTCTGGACAACCTCTAAGAATTTCCTACTTCTTCAAAATAAGCTTACCCTAAGAAAACTTACACTTGGATAAAATCAATTTGCCTTTCATCATTTCTGTTTTTCATTTTTCCAACAATTACAGACTCAGTTTCTATTCTGTTATTTTGGAAGTTTCTATGAGGTTTTGTTCTGAATTTATGTAACTTTTTGCCTAGGGAATCAAAATATGCTAAGGACAAGAATTTTATCTTTTTATGTTGCTTGGTGTAAAATGTATAATAAATTGAACATATTGGTGAATAAATGGAATAGACACAGTCTCCAAGTACTTCATTTATTAATTTTAACTACTGATTTGATAAAAATGTCTGATTATAAGATCTCTACAACAATCTCATAGTTTATTGTGCCAAATGTGTGGAGTTAAGTTCCTACAGGACATCTGTCTAGTGAAGTTTCAGGCACTTCCATGGGACAGGATTTACCATTTTCTCATGATTAGATAATGGTGGTCCACCACTTAGCTGCCTCTCCAATACTTTTTCTAGAAATTATAACCTTTTAAACATTAGTAAAATGTCAAGAAATCCAAAGAGGTCAGGAAAAAAATAGGGAAAAAATTTAAGGATGCTCTGTGAAGGAAAATTAAAGGAGCCAGAATGATTTAAAATGGAAAAGAAAAAAGAATGGTGAATTTAAATTTCTCTTCAAGTTTAAAAAGAATTACTGTGAAGAATTTGACAAATTTCCTTATGTATACACCTGCATTAATAAAACGTTTTATTAGATATAAGTAACATATTTTTACCTAGAAATATAAATAAATTTGATTAGGCTATCCACCATAAATTGTTTTGAATAATTGTGTTGTATTGCCTGGGAGTTAACCAGGAAACCTTTTAAGATTCCTTCCACTCCATGACTATATGGTAGCATAGAAACAAGTCTTAGAAAACTTGGAAATCTATGTCTGTTGTCTACAACTGACTCAAAGTAGAATGATTAACATACTTGGAGCCAGCCACACATGGAGTTGCTAAAATAACATATATTTGGCATTAAGGAACAAAAGGTAATTAATTACAGTTCAGCATGAAGCATAAATTCTTAAAAATTATGAATTGCTACTTTATCAAGTGAAGGGTGTACTCTACATAGAGTATGCTTTTTCTACATTGTGATGCTATCTTCTGATTGAAATATGGGAGTTACAGTGTTATGTAAGTTTTTGTAGTGAACAATGAGAAATTGTACTGAAATAGAAGGGCATAAAATTTTGGAGAAGTACTAGAAAAGGGAAAAAGGATTCTCATTAATTTTGTGCCTGTTATGTACCAGGGACTATGGTAGATTTACAGGTTTTTTATATGTAATCCTTCCTCATAGGGTACTGTGAGTTTGGGTTTATTACTACTCCTCCTTTTTTTTTTTTGATAGATAAGAGAACTTAGGAGCAGGGAGGTAAAGTACTTTCATCACTAGTTTACAATAGGTATCATGTCAGGATTTAAACCTAATCCTTCATGCTTGAAAATAAGTGCTCTTTTTACTGTATCTTTATTCTTTTTTTCATGTGAGGAAGAAGGGATAAAGTATTTTATAAAATTAGCACTAGTTCACTAGTGCAGAAAGATAAGGAAATTATTACTTTTTTTAAATTTTGAAAGTGTGATAATTTGATATACCAAGAAGATTGAGGAAACTGCTCATAAAAACCAGGAGGTTTAGAAAAATTTGGCATGCAGCATTTGGTTTTTGGCAGTAAAACTAGATCAAACAGTGTCCTTGGTGGTCCACAGAATAATTGGGTCAAAGAATCTGGAGTGATAGTCATGAATTAGTAATGCATGACTATATAACATACTTTTTATTTAAAATGAACATGTTCATGTGTGTTAAATTCTGAGATCTAGGGTATAAACATCTCAGATCTAGGGTATAAATATCTAAGATATAAACATCTTATTCATGTTTATATTCTAGAACTAGCATATTGCTTGGGACATGATAAACACCTAGTAAATGTGTGTTGAATGGATAAGATGTGCTTTTGAAGGCATTTATTCTTTCTTTACCTCTTACTAATTTCAGATCCATATGTGTAGAAAGATATGTAAGTATGCTGAGGGATAGAACTAAGTTTTTTGTATTTTATAAAAGCAAAGTAGTATTTCACTCTTTAAAATGTCTATGGAGATGACTTTTTCTTTTGAACATTCAAAGGATGTTTTTACAAGACTTGTATTAAAAAAATCTTGTACACTGTGAAATTTAGAAGAGTAAGCGAAACTTTAGAGGAAATTTAAGAATGTTTTACAGACCTAGCTTTTGTGTTAGACATAAAGTGCCTGCAGGGGTCAGGAAGGGAAGCTAGGCTCTTGTACTCGGGGAAATATATAACAGAATTCAGGGTCTCTGGTCTCAAGATGGAGTGGTGAAATTATTGTGTATGCCCACCAGATGGCAGCTGTGCTATGTGTTGTCAGAAGTTCAGGCACCCTCAAAAAGAGGGTTGCATGGATAAAGGGGGTGACTTAAGCATTAGGACAGTTTCTGGGCTTTCTGCTTCTGCTTCAAAGAAAGCCCAACTGTGCAGGCACTTTACAAGTATTAAACCCAGAGGGTATAGCAGTGTTCAGAATTAAAAGAAATCTATTATTAGAAACAAGGAGCTGAAGTTCAAAAGTAGAGGGATATGAGGAAAAAGGCCAACTATGGAGATCATCAGAGTTGATCCCAAAGAAAGCCTAACTTGATGATGAACAGAGTCACCCCAAATCCTAAGTCAAGTTGAAACTAAGGTAATGAGTTATTGGCATAGTGGATAGGGCTAATTTTTACATGACACTTCCAGATATTTTACCCCAGTGACACAAAACATGTGCCCCATTTTCAAGGCTTAAACTGAAGTATTAAAGCCACATTTCATGTTTTTGGCACTCATTTTGTGAGTTTCCTCATCTATAAAATGGGGCCAACACTTTAATATACCTATGAGGAGCTACCTCATAAGGTAGTTGTGAAAGGGTCACTAGAAAGAATGCATATAAAGCTCTTAGCACAGAGCTTGGCACATGGTATCGATCACATTTTAGCTACTTATAAAAAATAAAGCCATTAATGTTAATGCCTTTGTTAGGCTTCTCAAGAGTTGGTGTTCTTCTAGTCAACAGGTAGTTAGCTCTATTGGGTGCTTTTATATATGTATACACACACACACATGCATGCATATGTGTCCATATTTGTAAAAGAAATGTAATATCTTCAGTATTTAGTCATATGACCCTTTACAAAGGTAAAAGTGACTAATAGTTTGAGTACTACTGGTGCCAAATATTGTGCTGTGTTCTTTATGTATATTATTTCAGTCCTTACAAAAATCCCCTTAGATAGGTAATAGTATCTTCAATGTAGCGGTACATTGACTGCGACTCATAGGGGCCAGTAAAGAAGCACTTTGACTTTCATGTCTATATTTAATCCTCATAAATAGTCCTGAGTTTTGTGGTTTGATACTATATATACAGTTCTACTCTGAAAATATGAAGTGAATTTTTATTTCCTGTTAATCAAGGCTAAGAGAGATATCATAACTAACCAGGGTAGCATAGTAAGTCAAAGTTATTTTAGTCCAAAGTACTTAGTACTTCCCACTGTTTTGCTCTTTTGTTCATTAAGTTATTAAAGGATAATTTTTTTTAAAAAGCACAATCATGAATTATATATAGATATAATATGAACATGTACCAAAGATTTTTTTAACTTATAAATTAACTAGGGAACCATTAACATATTACAATGAGTTCAAAGGAGAATTTAAAGTATCAACAAAAATATGCAAATAAGAAATGGTGAAATGAATTTGAGTCTGTCCAGGACAATAATTAATTACACTCTACTAGACAAATAACTAATTTATGTTTCTGTGGATAAGAATAATTTGCATTATTCAATTTTTTAAATATTTTATAAGATTGTAAGATAATTTAAAGATAATGAAAAAACAGATAACCCCTAAGAATGTGCTTGACAAGGCATTCAGTAAATATATATATTTTTGTCCATTTCAAGGTGTTTTACAATGTTTCCCTTAAAGAGTTTATCCTCCAAAGACTTAAGTGCTAAATTATTAAGGTAATATTCCAAAGTCATAGAAAATAGTGTATGACTGAAAAAGCTTTCTAAAATTAAACAAAAAAACAGCAGACCTTCAAGCAGGGACAAATCTTAGTATGTTTGATAATTTAGAGCAGATCTGTTATCTTGTTCTAGATAGAAAATAGTAAACAATACTCAGCATGAACTTTAGATGTAATATACAGTGACTGATTTTTAGTAATTGGAATTCTTCCTAAAGGATATGCACCATCAGCCTTTTCTCTTTGCGTAGATATTTCAATACCTTATCAATGTTTACTTTCTGATTCATGCAGAAGTTATCATAATAACAGCAAGAACAAAAACAAAAGGCAATGGAGTAAAAATCATTTAAATGCTTTTCCTCTTGAGAATAGTTCTTATCTTTTGTAACACTAATGTTGATGAATGGCTGGATTCTATAGACTACTACCTGAGTAAAACTGCTTAAATCTCAGGTGAATCAATAAAATCAAGTAAATTAAGATAGGTTGTTAGATTCATGGAAAAACATGACTTGCATATCACAGGAATTCATTTTATTAGCACTAAAAGTGGTTAGAAATGAGTGACACAATACTATGTTTATATTCATATATATGAATATTCATATATATATACACATATATATGTACACACACACACTAACTGTCGTGAATTTGATATAGTTGCTGCCTCAGCATCCATTTTTTTAGGCCTTACATAAGTTATTTGAAACCCAGTTCTGCCACCTTTGGTCTAGTTAAAAACCTTACTTTCCCGTGTAGTTGTTTGCTATACAGCCCACTTGTTCCTTATCTCTGTGACCCAAAACTCAATACACCCACAGCTCCTGACCATGATGAAATGTAATGAAGAGGGGGAGTTATTTATTTAAACCAGTTATCTCCAACCCCTATGGGAAAGCCTAAGGAATAATGCCAAGGACATTAATAAAGGAATAGTCCCAAAGATTTCCCCATCTCTGTCTCTCTCTCTCTCCTCCCTCCCCTTTTCTCTCTCCCTCCCTCCCCCTGTCTGTCTCTCTTGCCAGTTGAGCTCCCTGCTTCCCCTAGACTTCCTGTTGGCACCCCTAACCTCTCTGGGAACTGTGAATAATAAATTTCTTCTGACTACAAGGACAGCATCAAGAACCCGCAGAGGTTCAGCGAGGGACTCTCATAAAAGGAAAAACAAGG